AAAAAGGTCCTAATAGCTGTAGGAAACTAAAAGGAAAAGTAAATAAACAAATTGATTTAATTAAATCTCAGATTTGATAAAAATCAATTTAGCTGAATTGGTACATTCATGCTAAACAAATGTAAATAAATACAATAAAATCAAAGAGAGGTAGAATAAAGTCAAAACAAAAGTAAACAATAACACAAGTAAAACCAAAGTATGTGGGGAGGGACCGACCTAACTGAATCCAAAGAGAAGGTGATAGCATAAACCGGAAGTGAAACAAGGAGTGAGGAGAAAGAGAGAGAGAGAGGAGTGGTTCGAAAGTTACACTTTACACACACCTATCTAAGTATTAGTCAGATGCTAACAGCTAGCAGTTGAGGTAAAGGGCTTAGCTTAAATGCCTGTGCGGCTGCTAAAGAGTTAGCGGGTGCTGTTGTCAGATTAACCGGAGGAGTCTGCTCACACTTCCGGGGTCACGTGTTGCTAGGAGACCAATGCAAGCTCACATCACAGCCCAAGCGGAGCAGCGATTGATCTGTGCTGTGAGCATGCATAGGAAACTCACATGTGGTCAGATGAGGTGTGCTCAGTCATGACGTCACATGCAACTCATTCACAAATCAAAACAGCACATTCACTTCACAGGCAATGGTGAATTCATAGTTAGCTACGCTATACGCTAGAAATTCATTTGACGTAAATGTTTCACATGAGCGGATCAATATGAATACAATGATACGTAACACGTAACACGGCCTTAAATCAGTGAAATGAGGAGCATCGCTCAGATCACCTATACAGTGCTGAAAAAGGGGATTTCTTCGCCCAAGATCAGAAAGATTTATTCTGGTACCATTTATATGGGCTGCTAATCTGAGATTTCTTCGTCAGAAAAGACCTACGCTCCACTAACAACAGAAATTAGGATTTCTTCACTAAAATCAGGTTAGTTTCTTATCGTACGATTTAAACACATTATAGCACTGAAAACTTCTACTACTTGTAGGAAGACACATTCAAGCTATAGTTTTATCTGATTTTGATCAGAAACTGGTGCGCGCATGTATAAGAAGTTACGTAAATGTTT